CCTGGAGCAGGGGTGGGCACCGAGGGGTCCCGGGCTGGGGACATCCGGAGCTGGGGACCTGGCGTGGAAGTGACCTCCCCCCCGCCCCGCGCCAGTGCTTTTTAAGGTGTCCCCAGGGCGGTGTGGAAGTATTTATTGCTCGGGGACACTTCAGCGGCACTTCAGTGCCGAGATGCCTTTGCAGCCCCCCCGGGAGCCCCCGGAGCCGGAGAGGACGGAGACCCCCAAGTGCACTTCGGTGTGGTTGGGAGCTGTGCGGGGTCCATCCCTTGCAGGGCCAGGACACAGCCGCATCCACAACTCCGCTGTCCTCCCATCCATCCACCCCATCCGGGAGGGAGGAACCCCAAAACACGCCTGGTCCCTTTAGAGGGGACCTGGGGTCCCTTTAGTAGCTTCTGAGGGGTGGGACCTCCCGCAAAGAGCAGATCCAGCCCTGCCACGGTCCGAGCCTGCGGCATCAGGGAGCAGGAGGGCGGCTCAGCCGGGCTGGGACCCTCCGGGCAGGATCCGTCCGGGGATCACCCAGCCGGGCTGCAAGAGGCAGAGTCGGGGCCGAGACCCCCCAGGTCTGAGGAACCCGGGTTAGCGGGGCCGGGCCGCGGTGCCGCTGGGGCGGCAGCTCCGCCTGGGAGCGGAGCCGTTAATTACCTCATTGCCAGAGTCCATTACCGCTCCCCCCGGAGCAGTGAAATGGAGAAACTGCTGCGGGAGGGAGAGAGGGGAGGATCCGATCGATCGCGAGGGGAGCCTTAACTCTTCCCTGACCACCCTAAGGGGGAAACTGAGGCACAGCCACCCCCACGGGGGAAGCCGAGGCATCGCCACCCCAAGAGGGAAACTGAGGCACGGCTGCGGGGGAGCCCTCCCTGTTTTGGGAGGGGGGGGATGTCACCACCGCACACAGTCCCTTTTGGGGCGTTGGTCTGTGGCAATCTCCAACACGGGGCTGGAAAAGCTCAAGGTTGTAATCTAGTTCCTTCCTCAAATTAGATAAGAGGGAAAAAGGCCATAAATCAACGTGGGCAGCAATTAGAGACCCCAAAGAAGCAGGTGGGGGGCTCTGCCAGCCCGGCTGAGCTCCAGCAGGACCAGACCCTGCCTGTGCCAGCTCCCTCCATCCCGGGGCTGGACCCTTGACAAAGATCCAGGGCCTGACAGAGGGGCCTGAGCCCTGGGCTGGGGGCTGGATCCAGCCCCACTGCAGGGTTTTGGGATGGATTACAGGCTGGGAGCTGTGGGGTGCTGGGGTTGGCTCTGATTTCCTCCAGTTCTTGTTGTGCCCCATCCAGCCCCGGCCACCCAGCACAGCCACATGGCCCCAAGCCCCCTGGTACCTGCCACAGACCCCTCCCAGCTGCTCCCACCTTGTGCCGTGCCTCAGTTTCCCCCACGACCCCGCTTTCCTCCTGCTTATCTCGGGTCACGGGGGGTAACAAAGGAGCTGCCAGGGCCCTGCCTGTGCTGCCTAATTATCCAGATGAAATCAATTCAGCTCCATTATGGTCAAATCCAGGTCTCAACCATTACCAAGGCGGCTGGAGAGCCCGAGGAAGGATGATGGAGTGGATGCTACAGGGCATGTGATAACCCCTGGTTCTGATGAGAGGGCACAGGGAAGGGGGGATGACGCCCTTGGGTGGGGGGTGTTGGCTCTGTGCTGTGAAGTCCCATCCTCCCCCTGGGCCCCTTGGCGAGGGGACTCGGGTGCCCCAGGCCAGGGTATGGCACCAGCACCCCTGGGGCGCTGCCCAAGGTGGTCCCTGTGGCGCAGCCAGAAACATCCCCCTCTGGGCTGAGGATGAGGACACCATCCCTGCATCCCAGGCACTCACCATCCCTGCATCCCAGGCACTCATCATCCCTGCATCCCAGGCACTCATCATCCCTGCATCCCAACATCCTGGGCACATCATCCCTGCATCCCAGGCACACACCATCCCTGCATCCCAGGCACTCATCATCCCTGCATCCCAGGCACTCATCATCCCTGCATCCCAGGCACTCATCATCCCTGCATCCCAACATCCTGGGTACACATCCCTGCATCCCAGGCACTCATCCCTGCATCCCAGGCACTCACCATCCCTGCATCCCAGGTTCCTGGGTACACATCCCTGCATCCCAGGCACACATCATCCCTCGATCCCGAGGCTCTGGGCACACATCATTGCTTCATCCTGGCACACATCATCCCTGCATCCCAGGGTCCTGGCACACATCATCCCTGCATCTTGGGCACACATTGTCCCCACATCCCAGGATCCCTGGGGCAGCACCTCCCCTCCAGCCCCTCTGCCCCAGACAGGGTGGTCTCCCTGCTTCAAAAAGCCCCAAATCCCTCCATTCCCCACACCCCGATGACACCCCGGAGCAGGCAGGGCCCAGTGCGGGGGAGAGACGGTTTATTGGTGACTGGTTTTGCTGCAGAGCACGGGGCATCCCAACTCCCCCAGAGAGCTGAGCCCCCTGGCTCCTGCACGGACCCCGTGCTGGGGGGCTCTCAGCTCTGCCCCCTCGAGCCAACCCACGTCAGCAGAACAGCTCCATCCCGGCACGCTGGGGGAATGACAAGGAGCCAGGCAGCAGGGCCACAAACCCGGGGGTCCCAGCCCTGGGGGTCCCCCAGCCCAGCCCTCCAGCCCCCCCGGGATGGGCTGGCATTTTCCACTATAAATAAGGTTTCAGCCCTCTCCCCCTGCTTGGGGCATCAGTCCAGGGCTGTGCAGGGGGGGGAAAGCCATGCCCCTGGGCAGCAGGGAGGGCAGGGGGGCAGCGGGGAGCCGAGGGCGGGTGGGGGTCCCCGCTCAGCCAAGGATGTCCAGGTAGACAGGGGGGGTCTTGACGAGGGCCTGGAGGCGGCTGTGGATCTCCTTGATGGGCCGGCGCTGCTGGGGCTCCCGGTGCCAGCAGCTCTGCATGATGGCATAGACCTCGGAGGGGCACGTGCGGGGCCGCTCCAGCTCCCGCCCCTGAGTGATGCACTCGATGGCCTGTGGGAACCGGGGGGGAGATGGGACCTCCCCGCTCCGGGTACCCCCGGGGGGGGTCTGTCACCATCCACCTCCCCCCTGCCTGCTCACCTCAGTGTTGGAGAGCTGGTACCAGGGCTGCTTCCCGTAGGTGAAGATCTCCCAGAGCACCACGCCGAAGCTCCAGATATCGCTCTCGGTGGTGAACTTACGGTACAGGATGCTCTCGGGGGGCATCCAGCGGATGGGCAGCAGGGCCCCAAATCCCCATTTTCTCACCCCAAACCCCATTTTTCTCACCCCAAACCCCCCTTTTTTCCCCCCCCTCACCATGAGGATGCACTCCCAGGCCATCCAGCGGATGGGCAGCATGGTCCTGCCTCCCACCTGCCCACGGCGGGGCCGTCAGGGCAGGGCAGGGCTCCCCCCATCTGCCCCCCTCATCCCTGGCCCCACTCATTAAGCCTCAGACGAGATGTAAGGAAGAAATTTTTCATGGTGAGCCCCTGATGCAGGGGGCCCAGAGAAGCTGTGGAGTATTCCTTGGAAACATTCAAGACCAGATTGGACAGGGTTTGAGAAACCTGGTCTAGTAGAAGGTTGCAGGTTGGACTGGATGACTTTTAAATGTCCCTTCCAACCCAACCCAACCCAACCCAACCCACCCCACTCTGTGGTTGAATATGGATGGAGACAGGGTGGGGGGCAGCAGCCAAGAGGGAAAATCGAGCGTGGGCGCCCCAGCCCATGGCAGAGCTGGGGGGGCGAGGGGGCAGCTCACCCTGTAATAGTCAGTGCTGTAGATGTCCCGGGACATGCCGAAATCCCCGATCTTCACCACCAGGTCGTGGCCCACCAGGCAGTTGCGGGTGGCCAGGTCTCGGTGGACGAAGTGCAGGGAGGCGAGGTAGACCATGCCCGAGGCGATCTGCGTGGCGATGTGCAGCATGTGGCCCAGGGCCAGCGGCCCCTGGGGCTGGCCCGGCCCCTGCTCCAGGATCTTGGCGTCGGGGCCGTGGGACCTGCCG